AATTTCTTTCAAAAATTCATTTCTCGGGCTTGGGACCTCAGAATTTGATTCCGGGCACACGCCCAAGTCCCATATTTTTCTACGAACCCTCCGGGACCGTCGAATCACAGGTTCGGGTCCGTTTACCCAAAATGTTGACCGAAGTCAACATTATGCATATTAATACCAAAATTTATCAAATGTTTCACATAATTCACATATTCTAACATAAAAACTTTCCGGCTACGCGCCCGAACTGCGCACGCCAATCGAGGCAACTAAAAGCGAGGTTTTCAAGGCCTCGGGAGCACGGAACAAGGAAGAATTACGGTGATGACCCCTTGGGTCGTCACAATTTAATAGTAAAACATAATTTTCTAAAAGATCCTATATTCACTGGTTTAGATACACGCGCAAAGCGCGTACCATAAGACTAGTATATATATATATATATATATATGGATGAATTTAAGTTCAAATTGTCAAATAATAATGTTACTCCGGCGCATCTTCTTTTTCAGACATTAAAATTTTATTTTAAAAAAACACCTTAATTTTTAGAGAATAAAACTAAAAAAAAGTACAATGATTTAGCACCTTTCTTGCCACTCCAACAAAGTCTTATAAAGTTGTTCTTGATAAACAATACCAGAAGATATTCACTTGCATATGCTGTTTATATATATGTCTTGCATATACACTTTTTACCACCAACGTGATACGCATTATTCGCTTTAGCTTGTAAAGGTTAAGAACAACCACCCAGTAAAATCCCAAAAGTAAGGGGTCTAGGGAGGGTAGTGTGTACACCTTATCCCTACTCCGATGGAGTAGAGAGGCTATTTCCGATAGACCTTTGGCTCAAGAAAACAAAAAAGACGAAAGAGATAATATATTAGTACCATCAACAGAAACCATAAAAATAATAACAGCATTATAAGAAACCAGAAAATAGTTAAAAATCATGTGCAGGTTTTCCCAAAGTAGCTGCAAAAAAAGAGTAGTCAAGCTTATATATGGTTTGGACTTGGAACAAAGCTTGGATCCAGAAACTAAGCGATCTTCAAAATCAAATTGTCTATAAACCATATCATCAAGCCCTTGACCATTTTCATGATTACAAAGGCATTTATGCAAATTATAGAAAAATCCACTCTGATAATCTCTATAAATAGGAAAGAATTATCACACAACCCGAGTAAAAAACTATTACAAAGAAAGAAGGGCCAGGGGCAGGGGAGAGGGCATATATATTTCAAGCTTCTGTGAATCTTGGAGTTGCATCTCATCTTACAAATATCACTCTATTTACTATAGAGTTATACTTTTGTACACGGACAGTATATACTGCACACTGCGATAACTTGTCGTGGATTCACCCCTTAAATCGGACAACAATGCATGAGATATCATCTTTACTTTCTCTGGTCAACGCTTCGATGACTAATTGCTTGGCTGCCTTCTGTGGGTCCTTAACCTTCTTCGCGATGTCAACTGCCTCTTGATTAGACATTACCTGGAGAATCATCAATTAAAGAAAGGAAAAAAGAGAATTGCACTGTACAGAGTGCAAGAAGGAAAAGGGACCAAACTGAATGTTGGAGCAAAATGACACCTTCCATAAACCATCACTTGCAAGGATGAGAAGATCTGTATTTCCATCAACATCGATGTTTCTTACATCAGGATCAGAACGCAGGTGTGATTTCAGGTTCTTGTCTCCAAAAGCACGAGAAACAGCCAGTTGACCATTCACTCTAGCAACATCTCCTGAGATAATAGTATACATTTTAATGAGCTTGTCTCCAACATATGGTAATGTTAAGACACGCTCCACGTCTAGACCACATATTGGAAAAAGATTCTTCTTATAACTATTTCCCCATCAAATATAAAATTTTGCCTGAGATAAATGAAGGTTGACTTCATAGTAAGGTACTAATAGCCAACAACAGATTCAGACACCTTATACATAAAATGTTGGACTGACAGTCAACAGATATCTAAAAAGGGTGTGTATACTTAGCTTAATGTATGGTGGACCACAGTAGCAATGGAGGTTAAACAATATATCAAGAACAAGCACATCTTTGCAGCATGCTGTTAGTCAGCTGACAACTCTCACTAAATTAAAAAATGACATGAAAACATGTGCTTGTGAGGATTTGACGCATAAAATTCATTTTATCCTGGTTAAACACATCATTCATGCATTCAAGTCTATAATTAACACAACCGTTTTCCAAATTCCTCAATAACCTACTACTTCCTACTGCTGAGGACTGCTTCAAGATACCGCACGTGGAGTCCTTGCCAACAGGATAGCTTGACTTAACTAGAGATTTCATTAATGGGATCGTAACTGTAGTATCAGTTGTAAGCCAACCAAGCTGGTTATAAACAAACCTTCAACTTGTTCATGCCCAAGATCAATCTCATCGTTAATGGAAAAGATGGTCGCAACACATGGATCCTAGCTTTTCAAACAGAAATGTTGAACTCTACTCTGTAAGCTTTTCCGGTGTTTGTGATCATAAAAAGCTTTACTTACAACAATAACACTATTATGCCTCAATCCCAAGCAAGTTGGGGTAGGCAATATGAATCCTCGTTGACTATGTTGCTCCAGTTAAACTCATCTCAGACCAATAGTATACAAGACAAAAAGTACTAGAAGTTCTATATATTTTTTACTAAGATATAAATCTCTGACATGACTAAAAGGCTTCTAAAAGATATAGGATCTGAGTAAATGACTAAAGCACCATCCCTACTAAAAAGCTTTACAAGTTCTACAAACTTTAAAAAAAAATTAGTTTCCATAAGATACAATTATACAAAATAAATATTACAATGAAGACACATTGGACTCCTCGTTGCCCCCAAGAGACATGGGACGAATCTATCGCATTATTTAGTCAGGTGAGAGAAGTTAAAGTAATTCTCACAAGATTTAATTAGAATCAGAGCACATAATATCCCTAACAAAGGGCCTTGTCAACAGACAATATTAAGAATAATTGAAGAGGGGACATTCAGGCGTGTGATGTGAGATGAGAAGAGATGGGAAAATAATGGAATGAACCAAATATAGGACTTGAAGAAACTATTGATGTCTTCCATTCACAATTCGGTTACAAAACGAACTAAAAAGAGAAGTACTACATTAATAGTAATAAGCCATTAGATGTGGGATAAGCACCTGGCATTTTTGTGACAAAGCCACCTTTGTTTTCGATGCTGCTCCGCTCAGTGTGCGGTTCGTGATCAACGCTCATCTGTATCGCCTGCCCCCTCCTCGAAAGCACTGCTCTGGAATCTCCAACATTTGCTATCCATAGCTTTCGTCCATTTATAAGCATTGCAGTCACTGCAGTTGACCCTCCTTGTCCAAGATCAGGATTATGTGAAAGAATAGCCTCATCTGTTCTCTCATAAGCTTTTAAGATTGAGCTATGAGGGTCGGTCCAAAAGTCCTCCTGGAAAATTCAAAAATATGCGGCAAGAGTAACTAAAAGCAACAAATAAAGGCTCGATCGAAGAAACAGAAAACCCAAGCATCTGTCATAAGCAGTTAAATAAGCTGAGAAAGCTTTTCTGAATCCACAAATCACCTCGTTTATGATATTGGAAAACAAATGCTTCTGTAAATAGGAAGCCACATTATCTCCAGAATGCCCATCATAAATAGCAAAAAGTCCAAGTTCCCCTCCGCGCAACTGAGTGAATTTAGCAACATGATAATCCTCCATCGGATGATTTGCTTTCCCCTTAACGAGGCTGAACCCATACTTTGCAGGCCCTTGATGGCTTCTTCCTTTGCCACATGATGACCGTCCTCCTGCAAGCTAAAGGCAAAAGGAAACTTCAATCTCCTAGTGATATGAAGTCAACAATTCTAGAAATCATGCATTCAAATTCCTAGAAAGAACTGACAGACTATACTATAAAATACACCAAGTATAGAAACGTCAGTAGTAATCCCTGATACTATATTCACCATCTTCACTAAAAATGATTTCCTCTGCTCTACCAGAATCGACCTTTTGATGTCAAAATTGCTGGCTTTTTAATTGAAACTAATTTCAGTTAACTCAATATTTGAAAAATAATTTGAACTAAAGATTATATTAATAATTTTAGTTATAATGGTTATTTTATTAATTGTTTATTAAACAATGTTAACCAGCATGATAAAAATCATATAATTTACCTCAAAAAATCAAATGGTGTCCAATAAATTTAGAAAATCCAGCCGCTTACAATATAAATGTTTAAAGGAAGTATAGTTCGACGAACCCATAACATCCCTTTGATATTTGAATCATTTTTAGCCGAGTCCCCACACCTGCATCCGTACCTGAATTCATACCCTCGAATCTTAAAATTTAGATCACGAAGGATCCAACCTCTAAATCCGCACCCGTACACACGCACCCGAGTCCAAGCAACTTAGTTGAATAAAACTATAGAAACCAAAGGCTTTCTCCGAGTATAATTACCGATTGCATCACATAATCATCACTTCTACTGTCCCCCCATCCTTGGAATACACATATATAATCTTTGATAAATCTTCTTATTCCTCAAAGACAACATTCAACCCACATAATTGATAATTCAGCTAAAACCATAAAACAATACTCATAGAACTGCACAAGCCCCAAAATTTAGAACTCAAATTATTTATTTTGCATCATAAAAAGAAGTCAATCTAAGAAAAAACTACAGGATCATCAGCCTAACCTGAAATACAGCTGAAAAGTAAGCATGAAAGTCAATATATGTATATAAAAAACAAAAGGTAAAAGAAGCTACTTTTAAAGCCTGACCTGTGAGTTTCCAGAATTGAAGCAGCATAAACTATCCATAAAAAAATTAGTCCCTCCTCAGAGGCCTCCACTTGCAATAAACATCTACCTTGAAATTGACAACCTACAGCATCAAAGACAGAATCTTGATCATCAAAACATACCAAAGAATCAGTCTTTTTTACCAAGAATCATCAAAAAATTCGACTTATGGTACTTACCAAGAGCCCAAGGATATATATATGATAATAAATGTTGGTATGCCTACCAGTTGACTTTTGCGTTGACCAACTTTTATGATTAAACAGAGCTAGAAATGAATTGTTGTGGGGATTTATGGAGTTTCTAAGGTTGTGTTTTTATGTCTGGATTGGATTCCCTGTGCACGCAAGAATGGCTGACGACAAGCTTTGTGTTTGGGTTTGGGTTTGGGTTTGGCTTTCCCAAATTTGACTCTGTCTTGTGGAGTATATTTCTTTATTTATTGTTTGTTGTTCTAATCTGATGTTACAGCCAGTAGGAGGAGACTAACTTGTCCTATATACTTCTTTTTGGTCGTACATCATTGTTTCTATAATTCATAGGTATTATCAATTTCTTTTTAAATTTCAGAACCGACTAATCCTTAGCATCCTTTTCTTTTTATAATTAAAAATATGATTTACCTTGAGAAAATATTTACATAAAAAATTTAAAAACCCTTACAATTGGACATACATGTATTAGTGAAAAATGGACTCGTCACGTGGGTTTATTAATTAGCGACACATATCAGCAAAGTTATGAGAAAAATGAAGAATGATATGTAAAGATGACATGTGAAACACTCTCAGGACCGAGCATACTCGCACCGTGCATATTAGTCTCGGAACTGACCATCATAGAATAGCTCTAGATCAGTTACGGTAGAGTAGCTCATAATTACAAATGGGGAAAGAATCAATTAATCCCGAATTACATGGGATTTACCATCATTATGCCATCAGTTACAAATAAATTATATAACGTACAATAAATATAATAAAAAGTTGTAACGGTCAGAACAAGGCAATCAATTGCGAGATTGACTCATCAGTTTTGGAATTAACTTATCAGTTACGGAATCCAACCTTTACACAACTGTTACAAATCTTCCAAAAGTAACAGATGGATTGAGTAAATGTTCCTAATGAGCCCATAATTCAAGAAGAATGGTTATTTAGAATTAGCCCTATAAATAGACACACTTTTATTAGGAGAGTTTAATTTACTTCTCTACAATTCTATACATTGTAATTCATAGCATCTTGCTCCCAAGTTAGCCATAGTTCGGCCATTCAAGCTTTGTTCGGCTCAACATCCTATAAGGGAGCATTCAATAAGAATTATTTCTTCGCTGGTTTATTTTTATTACATTATCTATCATTGAATTTATTTTTCGCTTCTCTATCACGTTGTATTAACGAAAATTTATATCTTTTAGTTGCTTGTGATCCATCATATAAAATTTATTACTTTAACCTTGAAAATTATTTTTTGGATTAAACAGTTTAGTTCCTTTACTGGGAATTCAAGCAAATTTGCTTTTCATCCAAAGATACTAACAATTTTTGTTAATATTCGCTTGTTTTCAGTTTAAACCTTTGTGGCCGAAATTCGCCAATCAACACAGTTGAGACCAACCAAGTTGGAGATGGTTTTACCATGCAAAATGAAAATAGAAGAATAGCCATGATAATAATAGGTAAGCAACAAACTGAGAAAAATAGAGAATATACATCGGTATATTGGTATCGCAACTATTAGTACCGAAATTGATTATAATGATTTTGCACCAAACAGTTCCAGAACAGGAGGTTTAGATACTTCAGGTAGGGCTGTATTTTGTCCCGGGCCCGGGCCTTAGTGGGCCTAACGGGCCGGGCCTCGCGGTCCCGGGCTTCGTGGTCCCGGGCTCTGGCGGTCCCGGGCCTGGCGGTCCCGGTCTTCGTGGGCCTAATGGGTGGAACCGGCCCGTGACGGGCCTAAGCCCACATGGTCCTGTGCTTAACGGGCCGGGCTCGTGGGCTTCGCGGGCCTAGCGGGTTTTT